AAAATCTTTCATTTTTCCTCTCCCCTTCTGCTGCCAGTCCAGGACAGTATAAAAGTAGGAGTAATTTTATACAAAGCAGGTTGGGAAAGCTCACACAGAGAAAAAGAAGGTGACTTTGGAAAACACTAACTGTGAGAGACACCCGTGTATCCCAGTAAAAGGAAGATGTCATACTTCAGGGAATGACTGGTGAGAGGAAGGGGGAACTAAACCACTTTTCATTCCTAAAAATTTTATTTTACTTGAACTGCTGAGAAGCCTAAATCTGACTCTGATCTCATTTGAAAGAATCTTCTTGCTAAGTCCTATAAGTCTAATTGCCAGCCAATAATTATATATTGTACACTCAATTATTCACACCTTGTCATGTGTTTACAGCTTGATTATCATTACCATAATAATTATTCTTGTCAGACAGGTCTTGGAAAAAAGTCTGCAGTCAAAACTAGTGCAGTGTGAATAATGTCTAACTGGTAAGTTACTTCAGGTTTTACATGATATTAAGCCCAGAATACAATTTTTAACTGTTTTATACTATCATTTCAGAACAGCTCATGCCTCTGTATACCTACACACACATACATCCATATCTATACACATAACTGTACTTGCAAAGTTACTATTTAAGATCCCATCTCTACAACATGTGAACCAGCCCTTCAAAAATGCAATTCTCAAATAGGTTCCTCATTTTTTTTAAGTGTATTCTGAGGATAAGATAGCCCTTGGATAGATGAGTATATCACTAGTGGAATATCCAGGAATTCAAGGTCTCCCTTTTAGATTAATAGAAAAATAAGTGAGAAAAACAAATGAGGAAAATCATCAGTGAACAAAATCGATCCCATCCCCATTTGTGTTTTATAATTGTGATATTTTTCATGGTTACCCAATATCTGAATTTCCAGAGCAGACACAAACTGACAAGGCTACCAAGTAGAGCCTACCCTGGCTCCCAGTATGGGGACCCATTAAGGTCATATTCCTGAATAGTGCAACCATCTCACATATAGTAAAGGAATATTTCCCATTAAAAAGTACTCTGTTGGGGTTATTCAGCTGTTGTGTGATATGCATGCAAAGACTTAAGAAATGTACACCATTTAAATAAGCAGAGGCAGGATGGCTGTGACACTACAGCTGACCTTTCTGAATGGATCATCATTCCAAAGTTCTCTTCTGGTTCATCTTTGAGGCTGAACATAAAACGTAAATGTGATTCTTCTTGCTACCTTTCTCTGAGCAGTTACAGTTTCATTGCTGTCACCAGCTTCCCCACATCAGAAAAGGGTGAAAAATAAAAAACTGAGTAAAAACTAATGTTGGAAGAGTTGGATATTAAATGATCAGTGATGATGGTTGGAAGAATTTTATTGTAGCTGGAAAATTTCCTTTGAAAGAAATGTAACCATATTCAAGCAAGTTATTTAAGTAAAATGTTTCTTGACAAGAGGTACAAAGGTATCTATAATTCCATGTTGAGTTTGTTGAAACTTCTCAACCTAAAAAATCTGGACTTCATCATTAAAAATCAGTATTTCTGGTAACTATTTTGGACTTTGGTTCACATACAGATATAGTTTGATTTTTTTTAAGCAGGAAAAATTTTAAGCAGGAAACTCTGATAGAAGTATTATTAATATTAGCTAATTAGCAGCCATTCACATCTGTCTGTGGTATTTATAGAATTTGTATTAGACACAGAGTTATGAAAGAAACAAACAAAAAATCCATATACATAGCGAAAAAAAAGGAGCTTCATTTTCAGATTTGATTATGGTTCTGAACTTTCAATTGTTTGTATAAACCTGCATTTAGAACATCTGTAGATGTTTATTTTCCCAATATCTGATAAGAGATCAGCTAGTAAGAGACCAAATATAGGTTCTGAGAAGAGTAGAAAAAAGTGTGTCTTCCTGAAAGAGATATACAAGAACATAAATAAACCAGTCTTCATGCCGAACTTTACTTATAAAACATAACAATTCTGAAAATAGTGAAGTAGGTGATGGCCAGATCAACTTTTCCTGTCTGGAAACAACAGTCTGTCTTTGCTTCCTTCTATGGTAGCTTGCGTTATAAGTTCTATAGCAATAGATGGGTGCAGGAGATCATAGTGAGCAATAGCTTCTGGAGAATTCGGAGGAGTGGACTAAGAGAAAAAGCAGGTGTATTCCGTGAGAAACCAAGCCTGTGCCCTCCAAGGAACATCTTTTATAATGCTTGTCAATATTGCCGTGTTGGATCTTGCAACAAGCAGATGACAGATAACTGATTTCTGTTGGCTAGGTGAATAGTTACTTGAAAGTATGGTGTTAAACTGCACCACAAGCACAACACAAGAGGATGAAAATTTTTGAGATGGTTCTTATGATGGTGCTTCTTTTTGTAATAGATTCAGTGTCTGTCTACAGGGCAGTTTTAACTTAAAGACAGAGTGAGCATCTGTTGTGACATTACTGCCATTGCAGTCAGAGTGCTGAGGGTAAAGTTTGAGTAGATGACAATCACAAAACTTGATTTCTTACTTTTC